CTTTAAAATTTGTATTTGGCATTCTATTCTATTCATGACGAAAGTAACAGGATGGAAAATCCATTAAAATATTTTTTTATTAGAATTCAAAGCATGTTGTGCAAATGTAAGAGGTAATCCATCCCATGCAACCACAAACCAAAAGCCTTTTCTTGACAAGAGTCTTTCCTAGCATAATACTTTTTTTTTTTTTGATGTCTTACAAAATAATGTGCATTAAAGCTCCAAGGTCATGGATAACCACCGATAATCAAATACCTTATCATTTTCAATACGTTCAAGCATCATACTTTTCGATTCTTCCTCACCAACTTCATCAATTACAACACCTTCATCGCCATGTTAGCATAATATCCACTTGCTAAAATATCAACTAAATCATCCTCGTTTGTTTGTTTACTAGCAACAATCCTAACATCGCTTAAATCTTTAACTATATATTCTTTTCTATTTACATAAACATCATCATGTAAGTCATCATGAATTACTATCCTAACATCAAGTTTTCTCAACATATTTCTTTCTTCTATCCTCATAACCCAACCTAACATCATGGTCCGTAATCCATAACTTTTATATTTCCTTGACGAACTACCTTCATTAATTAATGAGTGGTCTTTACCTATATATTCGTAATAAATATCAATTTTGTTTATCAAATTTACCAACACTATCAAACTTTTGTCAAATGAACCAATCTAAAAAAATTAAAGTTTTGGATTGTTGTATATTAAAAGGATTATTGTAATACACGTACACTATATCTTTTGACCAAATTCTTTTGTTAATTTTAAGAAGATCCCAAGACATAATAATATTAGTTCAATATTTTCTTTTTCAAATACAAACTCACCAATGTATTCGACTCATAAATTTATTGATCTTACTCCTCTTTTCACGGATGCATCCAAATGAAAAGTAAATATCTTCATTTGTCAAACACAAATAATAAACAAAATAGTAAACACATGCATTAATAGTATAATGTCAAGAAAATAAACAAACTGCATATAACAATAACACAACATAATCTATTGTTTGAGAAAAAAAACTTTTAGCATTGTCGGTCAAAAAGGACCACACATGAGACGATCGGGGTTCCAAAATAATAATATATACTTTAGGCTAATAAAGTCGTCACCTTTCATATCGGAGACCATTACTTAGTCGGTTCCATAACACAAATATAATAAATTGATAATGAAAGACAAAGATAATTAATCTTTTTTGTTGAAATATTCTTTTATTTATTGTTGGCCACTTTATCGTGATTCAAAGGGAAAAAAGAAGAAGGAAGAATCAATTGACATTAGTAAATGAAGGCAAAAACGACTATTATTTAACAATAACAAAGACTTCGCCTTAAATTAATGGATTATGATTTTTAGGGTTTTGATTTTGGGCTTTTTGAATTTTAGGGTTTTGAGACTTTCAATAATGTTTTTTCTATAATAGCACACGAGAACTATGTGATTAACAATTATTTGTTGTAAGAAAAAACATAACGTAGAAAAAACATAATGAGCAATTTTAGGCAAAAACAACTCTACTCGTCCGTATTTTTTTTTATTGTTTATTGTTGTATAGCAACCTAACTAATAAGGTTGTAAGATTTTTACTTGTTGTTTGTATTTACTTAACCCATGCATCAAGTGAGCTCTTTTACCTATTATGAGATTGTTTGGAGTTGTAAGGTATTGTTAAACATCAACTTTTTTACTTTTGTGCTCGCCACACTTATTTTCATCAACTACATTGTTAGTTTTACTTTTATTATTGTTATGGTGATTCTAGTATTTTTCTTCTTCAAAGCATCGATTTTTTATGAGATAACCAATAAGTTGATGCTAGACGTCGATGTCAATATTATTTTACATTTTGTAAGTGCTCTTATTAATAAATTATGCCACTCGTATTATTTACAAGATAATTGGTTGCACTTTATTTTTAATTATTGACATCTTCATATTAGTCTTCTATACTCGTAAAACCTAAAGAGTTGATGGAAACAAAACAAAACTGGTTTTATATAATCTATTTTTTTAAGATAACAACATAACGAGCACTTTAACAAATTATGTGTGAGCAAAACTGAAGTTTGTGCGTCCAAGCTAGATTAAGCAAGCATTCGTATTAGAGTTCATAACCATTCAATGAGTTCTAAATTATGATCTAATCTTTACTTCACTAAGTAAAATGCATAATTGTTTACCTCTCTTTTGGTGTGAACGAAGCTCAAATTTACAAAGAACCTTTTTCATCCAAAAGATTGAGTTACATAACGATTAATTGAAATTTTCATGACGTTATGTTTGAATTTAGCGATCATTTAATGATATTCGTTAAGACAAATTTAAGATTGATTGCCAAGCCAACCATTATTTGATTGTTAGAATACATATTAATAGCTCAATGAATATCATGTAGTTTCATTTTATTTGAGCACCCTATTTAGCAAGAAAAGGCACATAGGAAGAAGCCTCTCCCACTTCCAAGAACGCCCCTATAAGCTAATTGTACTAGGTTTCTTCAATAAATAACCACCTTCATTCCATTTTAGTAAATTCTTATTTGTATCGATTGCATGTGTGTGTGTGTGTAATACGTAAAGGATTGACTTTTCACGGTCATGATTAATATGAAAATTCAACTAATATTGCTAGTTTTCTTGAACTTTTATAATTTCTTGCCAACATAATAAAAATGTAGGCAATTTTTTATTGTGAAAATATAACTTGAATTTAATATATATCACTTTGATGATCGATTTCATTTAACATTGATAATAGTTATAAAAAATAAATATTAACTTATTCTTTATATTAATTTGATTGCTAATTTATTGAATACAATTAGAGCTTTTTTATAAATATTGAGATATTATATGAGAGAAGTAGATCACTAAAATTATAGAAAAAATAGATAAGCATGAGCTTAAAAGCGGGTGAGGATTAAATCAAGAAGGAAAAAACTCTTCAAAAAGCTAGTGATACATGTTTAAGGATGACATTATGGTTCTTCTAAACTTGAATGATACGTTTGCTTTTGTTATTGATATGCTTGAAGTAATATATGAAGGAGATGAATCATATTTAGAACAATGAGCTGAAACATGTTTTCTTATAAATTCTTTACACTATTTTAATTTTGCTTTTAAATATACACTTAATGAAAACTATGTTAGAAATCATAAAAAAATTTTCATTGGCTTTGCAAAGAAAAGCTTAAGACATTGCAAATGTTATGATATTGGTTAAAATCTCTAAGCAACGATTATAAATATCAATGGATGATTTTATTTATGTAATTTTCATTATCAATATGAATAATATATTTATCATTTGAGGAAGGTCATGATGTCAATCCCTACAAGTCATCAATTTATGTCACTATTAAATTGAACTATTTCATATGCAACTTTAAGAGTTTAATAATTATTTTATTGAGTTGCTACTTTGTTTGCTTGTTTGAATCCTAATGATTGGTTTTGTGTTTCGACAAGCAAAGTTCAATTTGATTGACTAAATTTTATACATACAATTTGTTAAGTTATAGAGACCGATGTGGATGTGGTTTATAGTCTAGTACATTACGCGAAGTAGCACGGTAGTCTCGCTAGTCGATCGGCAAGCAAGGTCAAAGGGCAATACTTTTAAGGGTGTTTTCAACGACCATAGTTGTCCATACTATAAATATGGATAATATCTCTTATTAGTCGATTGAAAATCTAATAAGAACTCATAATGGAGCCATAAAATAAGCACAATTTGTTGAATTACATAAATTTTATATCATGTGACTATTTATTGTCCTTTTATTTTAATCTTCTTACTCGATTCATTTTCTAACAACTAGTATTAAAACTCTAGGTTTACGAGGTAAGGAGGAACAATGGCGAGAAAAAGAAAAAATCAAAATTAACATGTTTGATGGCAAAAACTTTAGATTTTGAAAGATGCAAATTGAAGATTATTTATATCATAAAAAGCTACGCGAACCTCTATCGGGAAAGAAACTAGAACGGATGAAAGATGTTGATTGAATTATGCTTGGATCGCCAAGCATTGAGTGTTATTCGATTGAAATTGATGCAAAGTGTTACGTTGAACATCGTGGGAGAAAATATCATAATAGATTTGGTGATGGCGTTATCAAATATATATGATAAGTCATCTATGTCAAATAAAGTATTTTTAAAGCGTTGATTATTTAATCCGAAGACGACAAAAGGTGTGTTTATAACTAATCATGTTAATGAAGTTAATGTGTTGATCATTTTATTAAAGTAGTAAATATCGTGTTCGATGATGAAATTTAGGCATTAATCTTCTACTATCTTTTCTTTTCAAGAGCTAGTTTAGAATGGTAAAAGTGCTAAGCGAGTTCATCAAAGAATGACAAACAAAAATTGGATGATGTATGAGATTTAATTGTTAATAAGGTTTTTTATAAAAGTGATTCTAAGGAACCTTCAAGTTCCACTTTGAGTACCTCTAACAAAGGAAATAGACATTCACTGAGGTCAGAATCATGGTTATGGTTGTCATCATCTTATTTTTACGCCACTAAAATAAAGAAACAGAAAAAAATAATAAAAATGAAAAATTAGGAGAAAAAGAAAAAAGGGAAAAAAGAAGAAGAAAAAAAGGCTGGACAACTCAGGCGTGCCAGGGCCAAGCGCTGTTGAGTCCAATTAGCCCAAATCAAAATAGAAAAACATTTTTAAACCAAATCCTATATATATATATAGTCTGTCTAGAAAAGCTAAAACAATTTAAAAAAAAAACCCACCGTATTCTTCAGGCCTGGCCTGTGTTTTTCAAAGAACCAAAAAGCCCAGATCCATTACCTGTGAGAACCAACTGCACAATCTGCAGTGTTACACTTCATCACACACAAGCTCTGTCTGCGCGCCTTCAAAACGGATAAAATCTCTCTTGCTGTCTCTGCCCCTCTCTCACTCGAACCAAAGCCACTGAAACTCGAAAACACAGTTAAAAATGCTAGCAAACCCTAGCACCAGTACTCTCCATTACAGGCCGAGCTCCACGCACAACCCTCCATTTATACACACTAATCATCGCTGCAAACTCTCTCTCTCTCCAAATTGCCCTCGCTTCGCCAATTTTGCAAAATCCAAGTTTTCTTCACTTTCTCTGCTTCTATCAAATAGAAAACTTGAAAGGTTGTTTACTGTAGTTAAAGCTTTCGAGGAAACTTCTGTTGTAAATGATGGCCCTCAGTCTTTGCCTCAGCCTGTTTCTGTCAAAATCCCAGTCGGTGACAGACATGTAAGTTTATTATACTTAATTCAACTGTTATGTTTTTTCTTTTTTGCGGTTTTGATGATTTTAGAGTTTATTTTTGAGGTTTTTTAGTGTTATTAACTTTTTACTATTATTTTTTTGGTAGAATTTGCTTATATATGTATGTATGTATGTATGTATGTATGTATTTGCTGTGGATAATGACTAGCGTTGTAATGTTTTTATTAGTAGTGGTAAAAGATCTTGAAATGCGAACTTGTGTTTGATTTATAGGTTTAGTTTTGCTATCGTTATCTATTATTCGAGATTGCTTCTTCTTGTTGTGTTTAAATAATCACATTTACCTGTGTAATTTATGGTCATTTTGATGAATTTGTTGTTTTTTCTGCAGATATTGGTTGAGACAGGTCATATTGGGAGACAAGCAAGTGGTTTTGTCACCGTGACAGATGGAGAAACTGTAGGTTATGATTTTGCAGATGGATGTATAAGTATTAATGTTTGACATCAGAGAAAGAGAATTTTTTTTTTTTTTTTTTTTTTTAATATGCCAACTACGCTATGGTTTGATTCCCTGGATTAGAATTTTGATTCTTTGTTTTCGGAACTGAGATTCATGTTCAGCTTTCATTAACTTGTGCTATATTATCAGCGTGTGTTGGAATTAACAAGAGGACTTTGTGCATGTATTTTCATATGCAGCATACATGAAATGATAAGAAGTTTCGACTTCAAAAGGCACACCCAGTTTTGGGTTTAATTGTGTATTGGATTGGTACTAGCTAGTTTACTTGGTAAAAATTTCTTGAGATACCAAGTCTTGATTGCACTGAAGATGGCATAGATTTAGAGGTTGAGCGGTGGGAGTAGAGAGCTACTTGATTTATGTAGCTCAACCATTGGACCGAGAGTGATTGCTTATTTTACCTAACAATGAAGAAACTGATTAAATGTATTTCTGTTTGAATTATTTGGCTCACAAGAATGAACTAATACTGGATTCAAATTATTAGGAAAAGAAAGGAGGGTGTAGTCACCTGTAACTTCAGGCCTCTACTACTGCTCTGTACTCTAGATTGCTTTATTTTACATGTATTTATATACATGCTATGGTACTTCTGCATGTGTTACTTCATAATTGTCATGTTGAGGTTCAAGTGGCTGTCTTCATGTACAACCTGAAGTTCTTATGCTTATACTAACATTATTGCTTCTTTTTGTAGATTATCTATACATCTGTTTGTTTGGATGATGTCCCTAGTGAGCCTTCTGATTTCTATCCTCTATCTGTAAATTATCAAGAGCGATTTTCTGCAGCAGGTCGAACTAGGTATGTCTTGCAATGCCTTCAACTTTTGGAATTTATCTTGCAACAATGTGAAGGAGACTAATATTTATGCTTTAAATTTGCCATTGCTTTAGTGGAGGATTTTTCAAACGAGAAGGGAAGTTGAAAGATCACGAGGTACTAGCCATCCTTTCCGAGTACTGAAAATGCTTAATCAAGTGAATAGCTATAGCAGTTGTCTTTAACTATCACCTTTCAACTTAAGATTTTAACTTCACACCATTATAATGTATATTTTCTTTATACTAGTTTCATTTGCGTGCAAGTCTTTGCATATGTGGCTTTGCTTTCATGTTATTGGTTATCGTATTATTTCTCTAAGAATGGGGGTAAGTACGAACTGCTAAATTTTTAGATAATGCTGATATCCTGTTTTCTACAAAATTGTAGAGAATATAAAAGATTTTGGATAGTGATACTGTATCATTAATCTAAAACCTCAAACTGTCACCAGCCAAGGATTTATCATTGGTTTGTAGACACAGACACAAGACACATGAACGCAAGTAAAGATTCAGATTATGTAGATCTTGACCATTGTAAGATATATCATATGTATCTAACTTATAATGTCGTAATGGGTGCCATTTATGATGTTATGCATCTCTACAATGTGAGACATTTTTTTGTTTATGATGCAATGGAGTTGTTCTGCTAAGACATTGTAAGATATATCATTAATCTAAGGATTTTTTTGTTTCTGATTTTACTTGTAGCTTACCCAAACATGCAGACAGAATTCTGTTGCTAGATCTCTATGCTTTCTCACACGAGCTTCTCTTGGACTGTTTTCATTGGCTAGTGTTAACCTGCTCTATTACCTTCTCTAATGGACAGATTTGGTTCTTTAGATATTAGGTTTTTTTACTGTAACCTTTCTTTTTGGCTGTCTTACAGTCATTACTAATTATTTCTCTTCTTTACCCCCTCCTTAATGATGCAATCTGTGTAGGTATATCAAATGAATTATTAAGTTGGATTATGAGGCTTGAGCAATCCTATGTTTTTTATCAATGTAATTGACAGCCATTTTTTTACTTGAATATCTTGACAAAGAGCAAAGATAAAGAATTTATCTAGCTTTCTATACCTTTCAGAAGTATATCACAGTATATCTTTTACAACTCTATTTTGTCTCTCTGCCTATGTGTTTATGCATTTGTTCTTTTGGTTCCTTCTAGGTTCTTACTTGTAGATTGATAGATAGGCCTTTGCGCCCAACTATGCTTAAGGGCTTTTACCATGAAACTCAAATACTATCCTGGGTAAGTCTTCAAAGAAATTGATTTGCTTAAATATTTCTTTTGATATCTTCATGGTTTGTCTTTATTCACTTTAAGGCTGCTAAGCACATCATGTGGTTTTATTAGTTTTGATTTTTTGATTAAATTGTTGTAAAAAAGATGTATGAGGTCATCGCCCAATTATAGTCCCATTAAAACAATTTCCTGGGAAACGAAACTTAGGAATAGTTCTCTGATGGAGAATCTAGGAAAGATTTTGGAATTGCCCCTTTTCTATTAATTTTTGTGGAATGAGGGAAGAGGAGGGAACAAAGAGGGAGAACCAGAGATACGGAAAAGGGTGAGAAATATAAGAATAGTTATAGGGAGAAACAGTTGAAATAGAAGAAATGACCTGGGCGGTAAAAAATTCTAGATTTTGTATTTATTTTCATCATCTACCCTTCATCATTTATGCATTAGCTGGTTGTTATCAGGTCTTAAATTCTTTTTCCAACTCTTGGGCAATCATTGCACAATGCTATTAGTCTCTTGTGGTTTGTTTGGACTTTCTCAACCAATTTCAATACAACTTAGTTATAGAAATAGAAAATAAAAGCTGACGAGTAGATAAATCTGAAAATATTCATGCTTAAAAAAGAGCAGTCTGGTTTCTGTGTGACCATGTTATGCCCACTGTATTGTTTGTGTTTGTCATCTATCTGTCTTCCATCATGAATGGCCAATAGTAATCAATTCTTAATCATCAACATTTTGAAACTTGATGGGCTGATATTTGACTCGTTTATCTTGCTGGATTTATGAACTTGCTAAGAATTACCACTGCCTCTTCTGAACAGGTTTTGAGCTATGATGGTTTGCATTCTCCTGATTCTTTGGCAGTGACAGCAGCTGGAATAGCAGTGTGAGTCTTAACTTAAATATATGCTTCTTTTCTTCTTGTTCTTGAAGTGTTGAGGTTCCGATAACATGTTATAATGTACTTATTTTTATTCTCAAACTTAATTACAACAGAGCTCTTTCAGAAGTGCCAAATACAGAAGTAATTGCAGGAGTTAGAGTTGGCCTCATTGACAGCAAGTTTATTGTGAATCCAACAACCAAGGAGATGGAAGAGTCACAATTAGATTTATTGCTGGCTGGTACAGACAGTGCAATATTTATGATAGAGGTCAAATTTTAATTCTTTGATAATTGTCTGAATCACAGGTCATTTTTGCACGTTCATTCTTTGGCAATGAAATTTCAATTGGATCATGGTGAATAGTTATGGCAGTTCTACTGGTGCAGTAGATGTGCATAGGGATAGTGAATGGAGTTGGATTCCATCTAGTGCACTCTAACAATAAGTGCACCCAACAAAGTTAGAAAAATGAACTGAGTTATGGATGTTAGCGTTTGTGTTAAAGCTTCATCTGATGCGTTATTTACCTTTTCATTTGACAAATCACTGAGAGTTGCATTTTGGTGTAAAATCTAATATTCTTTTTCACTTATTATATGCATCCAAATATGTTTTTTCCATGTTTATTGAGTAAGGAATTGTTTCGTGAGATTACTGGAGATGCCTGATTATCATCGCCATCACCTTAGTGTGATGATCTGTGGTGTTAAAACTCAAAAGTTGTCCTTTTGAAATTTCAAAGGCTTGAAAATTGTGGGCTGGTTTAAATATGAACTGAAAAGGCACTATTGTCTGGAAGAAGAGAACTCATTGCAAACCAAATGGGCCCTCAATCCTCACTAATTAATTATCCTGTTAGCTGGACAAGATGACCAGTTTTGTTATTCTAACTTTTTGTCTCAGTACTAGAGGGAACAGTCAAATAGATATATTTGCCTTATTTAAGTGCCAGCATAAATAGACTTAGTTGTAATCCATGGCTGGAGCCCAGCAAATGCTTCATTCCCCCATAGCAGATTCACTTTTCAGGAGTTATATAAACTATCCCGAGTAGTTATCGGGCAAACAGTTTCTACACTAGACATCCACATCCTTTGTCGAAGAGATCGGCAACATGATAAATATATGCTTCTTGGAGCATTATCCTTTCTATCATTTTTCGCATAATGTTGCTGGTATTGATGCTACATTTCTCTAACCCTAATAGTTTAGGAGAATGCTATCTACCACAGGTTTCTGCCTTTCAGCTTAAAATATTAACATACCCTAGGTTGAAAATAAAACATGGTTAGGTCTTGTGTTGATTTCCTTTTTAGTTCTTTTGGTAGTAGAGCATAGAAGTAAATTGGTTAATATGGTCATAGTATCATAGATTTGAACTTTAATTGGCTGATTCTCTATCTACATGCCTTTTGCTTGTGCTTTCTTCCTTGTTTTCTTTTTTGTTTTTTTACTATGTCCCTATTCATTCATTTCTCTTGGATTGACCTGGCACTGTATAATGAAATGATTCTGAATATACACTTGCATTGCAATACACCATGAGGAAACTTTATTGATTAGATATAACTTGTTGACCATAGAAGTGTTTCAAATGCACCCAACCATGGTGGTGGTTATCATTAATGAAATGAATCTAAATGAACTTCATTATCCATTACCTTTGTTTCTTGCAGGGTTATTGCAATTTTCTTCCGGAAGAAAAGTTGCTTGAAGCAGTACAAATTGGACAGGTTGTTTTTTGTTCAAGCATGTTGCTTATCATTTTTCTTTTATTTCTTCTTGAAGGACTCGTGTATATGTTGTCTATAGTCTGTGACTATTTCCCTGCAATCTGCAGCAATTGTTGCTCAGCTTCATTTTCTTATTTTTTAATGATTTGTAGCTCAAAAGTGCTATTCAGCACTTATGATTTTGTTTCTTTTCAAAATATTTCACAGTGTGGTAGTGAATTGATACTGTATTCTATGGCCCAATATTGATTGTAATATTTGTCTTTGTTGTGATCTTCATTATGAGTTGTTATTTACAGAAAGGATGCATTAGATTGCACTTTTGCGTGCTGTGTTTAATTCCACAACTGGTTAGAAACTTGTTTAGATGCTAAAATTTTGTCTGTTCGCTAAAGCCAGGATGCAGTGCGGGCAATTTGCAATGAGGTTAATGCTCTGGTGAAGAAGTGTGGGAAACCTAAAATGCTTGATGCAATCAAATTACCTCCTCCTGAGCTATATAAGCATGTGGAGGTATGGTTTCTGTTCATCCTTATTACATCATCTTTTCCTGCCAGAAGAGTGTTAATAAGTGCTGCTTTTGTAAGTATTAAACTATTTTCTAATTTACTATTATGCTGTCTTTGTTTGGCTAAAAGCTGGATAAAAGATTCAAGGGCACTCCTGAAATATTTGATTTTGTATTATACAAATCATTTCTGTTTGCGTTACTGAAGTTGCATAGAAGATCTATTAGCTGTTCTCCATTCTGCATTTGTGTCAGTTGAAGAAGCTTTATGTTGCACTATTTTCTTGAGTATCTAATTTTGCGTTGATATGCATAACTCTAGAGGGAGGTTGCATATATAATGCCATAAGTTCAAATTGCAGTTTCATGTTTACCACACAAAGTGACACGTGATTTGACAGACTGAAAGGACCTGTTTTAATGTAGCAGGCTTGAGCTGCCCAGTTATCCATTCTAGTGATTTATGCCTTATCTTGTGATTCGAGCTAACATGATCCTTACCTTTGTTATCTTGCTCAAATTATTATTCTAGTTTTTATGTAATACTATGCATCACTGAGTACATTTATTTTTCCAAGATATAAATAATAATTGATACTAATGTTTATCTTGTCCTTCCATAGGAAATCTCTGGTGATGAGTTAGTAAAAGTTTTGCAAATTAGAAGCAAGGTACCAAGAAGAAAAGCCCTTGCATTACTGGAAGAAAAAGTGCTTAGTATACTTACAGAAAAGGGATATGTAAGCAAGGATGAAAATTTTGGAAACCCCGAAACAGTTGCAGACTTGCTAGAGGTTGAAGAGGAGGATGAGGAAGTAGTTGTAGATGGTGAAGTAGATGAAGGCGATGTTCACATAAAGCCAATTGGACGCAAATCTGCTCCTTTGGTAACTGCCAACTCAAATTTCGTACTTGCCATCCTGTTTGTCATGTATGGCCGACTAACACCTTATTTTGATTTTCCTTTTCTAGCTGTTTTCTGATGTGGATGTGAAGCTGGTATTTAAAGAAGTTACATCCAAATTCTTGCGTAGACGTATTGTGGAGGTATGAGGGCTTTTTTTCATGGAAGTGGGTAAAGTAGGACATGATCGAATGCAACTTTAATTTAGACTTTTTACTTTTGCTAAATCTTTGTACTTAAACAAAATCATTTTCCTTTCTTCACCTTACCTATTTTACTTCTTTTTGCATCGTTCTTTTAAGAGAGAGGAGTGAAGGGAATGATAATCTTCGGTCCCATTTGCTTCCTTTCTTCTTTACTAATTGTCAGGGCAGTGACCCTACAGTAATAAGGCTGATACAGACACACCCTCTTTCGTTTCATTTTTTAAATTGCTTCAGGATGTTTGATTCCTACCTTAATTTTCTTGGTCATTTGACCATAAATCTGGTTTCTTCTAGTAGATAAGAATATTACATTTTTCACGACACTAGCTACTCTCCACTTCAAGATCTCTACCGTTATCCATGCTGTAACCTAACAGTTCATTTTTTTCTTGCAACTTCTTAAAATTGTTCACCATCTTCTTTCATTTTCTTTTTTTTTTAAAAAAAAATTAAATAAATAAAGAAACCCTGAGTGTAACTTAAAACCTTAGCACTAACATTTTGAATCCATATAACAAAATCTTCATGTTCTTGCCTACCACATTATCTTCTACTGGACAATTCCCATGGATAGAAATCAGTTCCAAGTTCCAACAATATGGAATCAGCTTCGATTATGCTGTACAGTGAATGAGAATATTATTGACCCTGGGCATTTTCATGTCACATGTTGATTTTACTTTGCAATTGTTTCAGGGAGGAAAAAGAAGCGATGGGAGAACCCCAGATGGGATACGTCCAATTGATTCCAGATGTGGATTACTCCCTAGAGCGCATGGAAGTGCTCTATTCACCCGTGGGGAAACACAGGTTTGATTAAGTGCATTTTCTTGTCAGAAACATGCAGAGGTTCCCTTTGTCGTGTGCTGTATCAGATTGTTTTTGCATGTCTCGAGATCATTGTTAGCACACACTTCATCTTGCACTCCTTCCAATTTTGCATGTCTCGAAATCATTGTTTGCACACACTTCATCTTGCATTCCTTCCAATCTCCTATCCATGGAGTTTTAATGGGTTTTTCATCACCTAGGTCCTTGTGGTTTGGGGATTGAGTCGCATGCCCGTTTGTGGTTTAAATAGACAGTTGGGTCCCTCACATTTAATTTGGTGGCATTGTCCATCCCCTCCATTCAGCATCCTTTCCAATTTACCATTAAGTTGATTTTTTTTGACAATTTTAGGACATATGCCACTCACTTATTGGTCAATAAGTTGACTTTTGGGTCCTCCTTATTTTTCCCCCTTTTATAAGTGTAAATTTCATGAATATCTTTTTTTAAAAGAAAATTAAACAAAATGAAATGAATTTTTTTTTTATAAAAGAAGCAATTAAAAATTTAAGGACATGTCATAAAAAAGAAGAAATTAGAAAGCTTTTAGAAAAAACTTCATAGATACATTATAAAGAAACTAAAAATAAACCACATCGTTTTAAGTCTTAAGTCTTTTTTGCTCGAAACGAAGTTGTTTTATTAGAAAATTTAAGTGATTTTTTGGAAATAGTCACTAAACTTTATTTGTCTAATGACAAGGTCCCTGACTGTTAGGGAGGAGAGAAAATGCAGGGAAGAGAGGAGGGTTCAGTTTTTGGACTTCTCGTATTGGGACATGTTTTGAGATGCAAAATTGGTTTTTTTTTTTGGATGATTTTAGTGTTTTTAGGTGAAAATTGTGTAAAAATTGGGTTTGGAGAGCCAAAAACAGCAGTCCTCATTTTCTTTGATGACCGAAGTTGCGGCACCATTGCTGGTTGCAGCCTGGCAGAAGATGTCTCAATTCTTGTGAATGCCGTGTCGTCTGCCTCATTTAAATTTCTTTCTTTCTTTTTTTTTTAAAAAAAGATTCTTGATGCTTCCAGCCTAGGTGTTTGGGCCTGGTTGCCACCTTGGCCATGCATAGAGGCCTGACGTGCACCTGGCCCAATTTTTCTTTTCCAATAGTTTTTTTTTATTATTTTATTATTAACTCCAAATAATTAATGGTTTTTTTTTTTTTTTGTAGAGCCTAAAAAAAAGATTATTTTCTAAGATTTTGACTTTTTTTAAAAAAAATTAGTATAAAAAATAATCCTTGTTGTAAAAATAATTATTCTTCAGGCAACCTTATAAAATATTAATGATAAATTTCTTTCTTTTTTTGAACCAATAATAGAGATGATATAACAAGAAATTTTTTTAAAAAAATATCAATACTAAATGTAGATTAACATTCAAAAGAAGAAAAGAATCTAAATAACAAGCAAATGAAAGAAGGAAAAGGAAGAGACTAAGAGAGAGAATTAGACACAGAAAGACTGTCCGTGTTTGTTGGCAAGAATAACTAGCTAAGGCTAGACATGTGGTTGTCGTGTAGGGATCACACAACTAAATAGAAATGCAACCTTGACCATTTTTTTGAATTTTCCTCATTAACGTGTAGTGCACCATTGATCTTTGGTGTTGTGGCCCGTTTATATTCATATTTGATACTGAAACTTCAAAGACTCTTCTGCTGCACCCCCAAACACAAGAAAAAATTCGAAAGACTGCAATAACTGGCTACATTATTATTCTGACCAAAAAAAAAAAAAAAACCATAACAATTTCTCCATAAAAGTTAAGAAACCTTTGTGAATAAATATAAATATTCTGAACCACTCATTAGATTATTTTTAATTCGATCATATAAAACCTTAAAAATATTTTAATTTGTTCTCTTAAGTGTAGGAATGTATGGTGAGAAAGTTTTGAAGAGTCTAAATAATAAGGATTTGTTTGTTAATAATTTATCATATTTTAGTTTATATTAGTTTTTAACTGATTATGTCTTACTTTAAAATTGATTATGGTTCTTCGACATGTGTTAAAAAAAAAATCGATTTCAGAATTACATTAATGCAAAATAATAATCATAATGAAAAATTAACTCTCACGTTGAGAATATGAGATTTTTTTAATTAATAGTTATGGACTCATTGATTAAAATTAACCACCATTCCAACATAGATTGCTCAAGCATCCTTTCTCTGTCATTCTTGCCATCCTTAATTATTGATTCTTCTAATTAGATTTTAGGTGGTATAGATAATTGATTGCATATTTTCTTTTTTCATTTATCAAAATTAAACATATTCATGATATATATTTAAACTTAAAATTAAAAACACACATGATATTGAATACTACAAGGTACATATTCGATTAAAAATTTTCCACAATTAAAGTTGATTTATTTTAATTCCACTTATTTTTTTTTATATTAATTAAGATATTGAACAGATTTTATAAACTTGCCCACGGCAACGCATGGGTGCTATAGTAGTATGTCCTTAAATTTTAATTTCGTTTTTTTTTAAAAAAATCATATTACTTTAAATTTTTTTTAAAAAAAAATTCATTAAATTTACAATTTTTTATATTAATTAAGATATTGAACAGATTTTTTTTTTTTTAAATAGGAAAAAAAATGGGACCCAAAAGTGGATGGTTAACTCATTGACCAATGAGTGGCACATGTCCTAAAATTGTCAAAAGGTAATGGCAAGTTGGAGAGAATTGTAGGAGGGATGGATGGTGCCACCAAATTCAAATGTGGGGGGCCCAGTTGCCTATTTTCAAACCACAAACCTGTACGAGACTCAATCCAAAACCAAAGGGACCTAGGGTGACAAAAAACCAAGTGGCATGATTATCATATTGCATGCTAATGAAATCAAATGTTCAAAAATTTCAACTGAATGAGTTATAATATTATGTGATTCTACCCCTCTGCATTGTTTTTCCATCAGGTTATTTGTCATTTTCTTTTGTTGATGTTACATTTTTTAGCATCTACTTTCAAGTGTTTCTCCTTCAAGGGACAGCTAATAATGTTTTGGGAATGTATGAGGTGACTCTCATTTATGTTGACTTTGTGAATAACTCCCTTTCCTCTTTATCTACTCATTTCTTCTTTTCTGTTTTCTAATAATCCTTTTCCGATTCAAGAAGCTGTTATCCTGGTTAAAACAATGCCAGGTTTGTAGATCTACCTGCTCTTCCTTTCTTGTTTTCACTGCGTACAGTATAGGAACACATGATCTGCTCATCAACCAACCTTTTGGAAGATTGATTCTACTTCCAAATGAACATTTTTTTTCCTTCTCCTTCCAAATAAACAAAATTTATGACTGGAGTTAATGTATTGTGGGTGACAATTTCCCATTTGTCAACCATTCTTACTACTATAGCATTTTTTCTCTTTGGATAAGTTAGTTTGTTGGAGTTGATTATGCTTGCAGAACAACGGCCAGCCATGCAGTTATATTTGCATACTGTAATGTTGTCAGTGATCATTGTGAATATTTTTATTTCAGTCATTAGCGGTTGTTACGCTTGGTGATAAACAAATGGCCCAAAGAGTAGACAACCTTGTGGACGAAGAGGAATTCAAGAGGTTTTATCTACAGGTCTGTTTGGGATAATTTTCGTTTTAAAATTGGTGTTTATTAATGATTTGCAATCAACTACTGCCACTTACTGCACTTCTAAAAGCTCGTAGCTGTGAGTAGTGGGTTTAGTTTGCAAGATCATTTTTTACTATATAATGTTTTATACTAATGTTTTTTCACCCACCCTGTTTAAATTTAAAATAATCGATCATCTCATTGGCTGTATACCATTTAGTTCCATCAGACATATCTAATAAACTTGTTAACTTCAACTTCAAGGTTTTAGCTATGTTTCATTGTTGGGATAGGCATTTTATTCACCCGCAATTAGTTACTACTGAAATTTTCTCTTGCTCTTAGAATAAGAATCAATTTAGAAGAGCTTTGGAGATGAAACAATAGTGATCTAGCCTATGCATGTTTGATTTTCTAGTTACTTTCATGTTAAAAAAAAATGTAGAATGAAGAGAAGAAAATGAAAGCATTATTCAAATTGTTTATTCATCTTTTTTGGATATGGAATTAAGAAAGTGAGAAGGGAACTGCTTTTATTAGTCACATATAATAAATGAACAATTGTATACAAGTTCCTGTTTTCAATTTTGACTGTCCTATGAGTAATTTCAATAGTGGAGCATCATTAAGTGCTTATAGTACTGAGCACAAACCATTCAGGTTCCTATGCCATTGATATATAATGCAATTTAAAGGATCTAGAGCTATGCTGTTTATTCATGAAGCAAAACCTTTTTGCATGTAAATTTTTTCTACTTGCTTTGTTCTGAAAAGTTGGTCATTCTCTCTACTCAGTTGAGTTGCAGCATTTTGATAACCATAGTTTAAATTATTTAGCTAATCACACTATTATTATTCCTGCTGCTGAAACTATTGCATATGGATGCTTCCAGGCATACTCAAAATGGTTTGAATTGTGGCTGCGGTCGTGATCGCAGTATACTCTCTATATAACTTAGCTCCTGCCTGCATGATTGATTGGGAATTCTTGATCGTGATAAATAATATAATTATTTATCAATACAAATTAATTTATCTGGTGAAAATGCTACGAGTTTGCTAATAAATATTGGCCTTGGATTTACAGCTGAAATTTCTTTTACTTTGTTCTAATGTTCCAGTACTCATTTCCTCCATCATGTGTTGGGGAAGTGGGCCGGATAGGAGCACCTAGTAGAAGAGAAATAGGTCATGGAATGCTTGCTGAGAGAGCTCTTGAGCCTATATTGCCTTCTGAAGATGATTTTCCTTACACCGTACGGGTTGAGAGTACAATCACAGAAAGCAATGGATCCTCAAGGTCAGAAGCCATAAAAAGTGCTATTGTTGTAGTTGTACAATTAGAATATAGGCCAGACCTCTGAAATCATCTTTCGTCATCTGATAACATTTTTTAGGGTGCTAAAACCCTCCTTTTTGTCTAAGTATTTCATGTCGAATATGTGTTATGTGATTTGGCTCTCATTATTTAGTCCTATCCTCAAACAGCATGGCCTCTGTTTGTGGAGGCTGCTTGGCATTACAAGATGCCGGTGTTCCTGTGAAAAGCATGATTGCTGGCATAGCAATGGGTATGGTTCTCGACACTGAGGAATTTGGGGGTGACGGAACTCCACTCATTCTGTCTGACATAACTGGATCAGAAGATGCTTCTGGAGATATGGATTTCAAGGTAATACTTACCAGTATTTTTTATTATTCTTGATTATATATTTGGACTTTTAAAATGCTTATTTAAGTTCAGGAGAAAGAGTGATTGAGTTAAACCCTTTCAAAAAGATCACTTTATAAGTATGATCTTTGCAGGTTGCTGGAAATGAGGATGGAGTAACTGCATTTCAGATGGACATAAAGGTATTATCTCTACGACTCTATGTATTCTAGACAGCTTTCATGTCTTTTTTCTAGACAGCATGTTGCCTCTAACCAACAACCTGTTGCCAACCATATAGCAATGGATGCTTTCTTCTGGTAGTGATTCAGTTTCATGAGTTATCTATAGCCCATCAATCATAATAATTCCATTTTTTACATGATAGGTTGGAGGAATCACTTTACCTGTTATGAGAAAGGCATTGTTGCAAGCAAGAGATGGCCGAAAGCATATTCTTGGTACTGGGAACTGAGCAAAATTAATTTAAATCTGTTTGGTTAATAGTTGGGCATTATCTACCCAAAATTCTGTAGAACTGTAGGCACATATCCCTTACATCACACCTTATTCTGCTATATCAATTTGTAAGGGTGTATAAATATTACCATTTTCTCAATTAACTAGGGCTGCTGATATGCTTCTGATTTACATTTGCTGGAAGCACTCATTTTCACCTGTTTAGGTTATCATATTTGATCAGATCATTTTACCTAAATCTTTTCCTTTTTCTTTTTGGTTTTTATGATTCAGCTGAAATGTTGAAATGCTTGCCTTCCCCTTCCAAAAGGCTTTCTAAGTATGCCCCATTAATTCATATTATGAAGGTTTGTTTATTTTCTATACATCCTTCGTTGCTTGGCTGTTGAAAGTAGAACTTATAATCCATGATGTGTTAATGCACTTATTACCAATCACAATATTGTATTATAGGTCAATCCGGACAAAGTTAACATTATCATTGGTTCTGGTGGGAAGAAGGTGAAGAGTATCATAGAAGAAACTGGTGTAGAGGCTATTGACACACAAGAGGATGGAATAGTAAGATCAGACACAGCTTACCTTCCATTGGTTGTGTGACTTGACAACAATGCAACTTTTAAAATCTTTGGCTTTTCCAGGTAAAAATTACTGCAAAGGATTTGTCAAGTATAGAGAAGTCAAAATCCATTATTAGTCAACTGACTATGGTTCCAACTGTTGGTGATATCTACAAGTATGTCCTTTTCATTAACGTTTTTTTTTCCTGTTTTTTTCATTTTATACAGATCCCGTGACAAAGAATAAAATAATCTTCTTTTTTTGTTGTTCTATCATCAAAGATAATTTTAAGATTGCATCAAATATGTGCTTAACTAAGGCTCATGCAAGCAAAGGAGTAGATTAATTGGTGTAAGTTCCATGATTATTTAGTGTATGTCGTCAATGATATGGCCAAGGAACCCATTCTAAATAAGTTTTTCCTTTTAAGGTCAATAAAGTCATGAAAAAAAGAATTTGATTTTTTTATCTTTTATTTTACACACAATGAATTTACCTGGACCAATACATGATTTTCTTTGTCTTTCTAGGATTAGGTCTTATATTATTGGAATTTTTGAGAATTTATTGCTCTTCTATTGTCTTTTACTTGATGATTGTGAATACAAGAACTGTTTGATTTTGTTTTCTTTTACTAATCAGGAACTGCGAGATCAAATCAGTAGCTCCATATGGAGTTTTCGTTGAGATAGCCCCTGGACGTGAGGTATATAGTTCCAATACAGAATTTTGATAAAAGTCGATGTCCAGTCTGTCGTATTGCTTATGACAAAATCACAAAATTATTAACACTTTTGAGTTCTAACTATAAGGAAGGAAACAATTTAAATTCTTCCTAAACCTATTTACTTAGACAAGCTTCTTTAACTTCAATATTTGTTGTAATTGCAGTTCCATGTGACATTAGAATTCCAAATTTCATCAAAAGTTGTCCGTTTCACAATAATTTTCTATATTTCCATCCAAATTTATCAAAGGCATTACTTTCTTCTCTTGTTTGGAAAACCATAAAAATTAAAATATAGCATGTAATCAAATTAAGTGTGTGGTATTCACAAAATAATATGTTTGCTACATAACCAAGCATATCTGAAGTCATGAACAATTCCAATTGGGGACGAAAACAATCTCATGGATTTCTCAACTATTGAATTCTTGCAGGGACTTTGCCACATTAGCGAACTGAGCTCAAACTGGCTGCCGAAGGCAGAAGATGTAAGCAGTGCCATTGTGGCTTCCCCCTCCCCTTTCCCAATTATAATAGCAATAAGAAATAGTTTCTCTTCAATCATGTCAGAAGTTAAAATTTCTACTCTATTTTTGTTACAGGCTTTCAAAGTTGGAGACCGTGTTGATGTTAAACTAATTGAGGTAGGGATGTTCCTATTAGCACCCTCCTTACCAAGTCTCAACCACACAATCCCACAAACACAAGTTTTATTCAGTGACAATCTTTATTTAGCCAAGTTCTGAAGTTCTTTAACCCTATTATTGATTAATCATTCGTTTGGTGCCAGCTATATTTATTTTAGACCTTCATTTTTAAACGTACGTATAAGACTCCATGTTGCCAATCCTTAAAATCTGTAGTAGAAACAAAACTTTGGTGGTTTCTGAAAAGATCGAATTTTATCAATTGGATAAAGTTTTATGTACAAAATAAGCATGCCAAGACTTTTAAGCACATAGTAGGCATACTAAGACTCAAAGGAGACCCAAGGAAATATCTTGCTTTTCTACTTATATTTGAAATAGTTCGATATGATGATTTGGTCAAGATTACTTTATATAAAAGGAGACACAATCTCATTTTACTGGTTTGACAGGCCTGTTTCTTTGTAATCCTAGTTTAGAACCCTGAACATAATTGGATTCACCTCTGCAGCATGAGATGCATCTATATTATGCTGGAAAGGCATAATAGGAGCAACAATGTCCTGCTATTGGAACAAATTAATCAGAATTAATGGCTGCTATATAACATTGGACTGCCTTTCCCTTTGCCTCAAAATAACGGGGGCAACCATATCCAACTGGAATTACTTTATCTTCTTTATGGGTCAGCATCTCCCGGAAGTTGAGAATTCTTATATGGAGTTAATGCAATATTATTTTGTTGAGTTCCAGTAGCTATCGGATGTCTTTGTCCTCATCAATAGTTCAGGTCTTGCAGAGTCGTACGCCTTACATGTGCCATATGATTAGTTGATTATGGCTTGATGCTGAAGACTTGAGTCTCTTTATTAAATGTTATCTATTTAATGAGATGTATGGCTTCACCTAGTCCTTAATTTTGTTTTCTCCTTGTAACTGGATTTATTTCTCCTTCAATGTACTGTATTTATTAATTTCAGTTGCAGAGAAAATGAAACTTTGATTTCCAGGCACCAGAGCAAACTGTAACATCCATAGTGCTGTACCATCAATTGATTTGCTCTCAACAATTGTTGCTCTTGACACAACATTAACAGAAATTGTTCTCTAGTACTTATATATATGAATGTTATACAGGTAAACGAAAAGGGACAACTTCGCCTTAGTCGAAAAGCATTACTTCCTGAAACGACTTCAGAGAGCTCCAGTGCAGAGCAGCAGGCAAGTGATTTAGCTGAAGAGAGTACTGAACATTCAAAGGATAAAATCAGTGCTTCAAAACTTGCAAATTCCCCAAAAGGTGATTCAGCGGAGGACAGTCCACTTTCAAAAAGAAGGTTTACAAGAGATTAACCAGTTCTGCCAGAGATGGGCCAAAGAAGAACAGTAGTACAGATGTCAGTAGCATCACCAGCAAAGATGAAACTAGTTTTGTGAATGGAGAAGCTAAGATTCGATAGTAAACATATTCTGTTCTTCATTCATGGACAAGCTGGTGTTGTTATCATGGTAGAAGACAAATGAGAAAGAGCAATAGGTGGACATGAAGGTATGCGCCCCCCACCCACACACGCGTGTGTTTTCTTTGCATGCATGTTTTAGTATTTACTGAGACATGTAGGTGGCCCTCCACCAAGTGGGTCACTTTCCAACTTGGTTATAGAACTGCTATTAAAAAAATAAAAATACTTGTATTGTATGGAAAGAATTGCAGATGAGGATAATAAATAGACAGCCATCTGCCACTTGTGTAGTGGAATAGCTCATGCTAGTGGTTCTATCTTTATGTTTGTGCACATACATGCATTTATATGAGCATGCATACAAGCTACCCTTGCTTAAAATGGAATTGGAAATATTGATCATATGTGGCAAATTTCTTGTTCAGCAAGAACTAGTTACTCTTCTTCTACTTATCTTGCTAGCGTAGTGGGGTTGGATGACTATCATATCTGTAACACTAGGTGTTGCTTTTGGGGTTTCTGGCTCTGCTATACTCATGTCTTTTTGAAGAAATAGGATTTGATTTGAGATGTAGATCTAGAGCATGCTTTTTTTTCTTCATCTGATCACTGTTTTTCATTCAGAGATCACTCTTTCTGTGTTACATATAATTCAATCTGATCTTTACATGGTTATCACTTTAGGATCCACTAAAATTTTGATAATTCATATAAGGTGTTTAATTAAAGGAAAAAATCATGAAACATTTACCTGTGGCAATATTGTAGTTAGATACTATTTCTTAAGATGAACTTTAGCTTGTAATACAAAATCTGGACTTGGCAAAAAACACATCTTCAATAAAAGATTATATACTTAGTTAAATAAAAGAAATTTAACTTGTGAAAACAGTAAATTTATTGGTTGATCGTATTAATTTATATACTTGATCAGCTCCCCTCACATTCCAAGTTATACTTGCTCATTGTCAGCCAGTGTAAGGCTTATGTAGTTTGCTTAATTATGTGTGCACCAGCATGCAGACTGAATGCAAAATCGTGCACTGACACAAACATATAGATGCTTGCATCCACATGCATTTTGCATACAGTTGCATGAACAAATGCACAGGCACGAAATAAGGAATTAGCTGATGGCTAGTCATTGACAGGAAGGATTTAATTACAACATGCTGCCATCCCGAATCCTGCACTTCTGGTAGTCAGATTTTGAGGTGATATAGCTGAAGGAACTTATTCCGCTAGCTAAATTGTTTACCACGGAAATGAAATGGAAGGGGGATCTTCTGAACAATCAATTCATCCTTTATAAAAGGCTCTGCACTGTTGCCATTGAGGAAAAGAGAGCTATTTTTGAAAAGGCATCTTGCAAGGTTATGCTTGGAAAGTGTTGGTGTATATTCAATTGATGGTTTCATCACAATTTTCTTTTTCATTATTTTTTTTCTGTTTTCTTTTTCTTTGGAGTAGCGGTGCTGGTGTACTTTGTTATATCATCTTTGGACAGATGACTTAAAGGGATCCTTGAAGCTTTATGCTTTTGCCAAATGTATTGTGATCCTTAACCATTTATCTCCAGGTTAGCTACAACCTGGCTTAGTTCATTCATCCAATTACTTATCTTGGGCCTTTAATTTCTCTCATAATTTTGCTTAGGGTCAGTTAACTTAGAGTGTTTTTTTAGTTTTTTTTTCAATTATTATTATTATTATTTTCACGAATTAACCATGCATGTACCTCACGGATGCTATTTTCAAGTTGACTCAATCCCATGCTTTACCAAATTGCTTCTATAAATTGCACGTTGCTTGTTAATATGGTCTGTTGAGTTTGTTATTTCTTTTATTGGTAAGGATATTAGTAGAGGTTCGGCCTAGCTAGCTCGTGAAGGTTGGGACATATCTTGTCTCTAAGCTAGTTGACTTCGTGGGTTTGGTCTCTATAAAGAGTCAAGGCCGCATTTTACGTGGCTTTACTTTTGGTGTATTTATGTTCTTTTTCTTTGGAGTAGGGGTAGGGGTGCACTTTGTTGTATCATGTTTAGAAGCACGACTTAAAATGGATCCTTAAAAGCTTTAAGCTTTTTTCAAATGTATTACCAATGTCCTTGGTTGCTCTTTCTTTGCTTTTGATAGAACTCTATTTTATAAGTCCATCTTCTTAAAATCGCGAACTATGTTGGCATGTGTACTTGTATTTGTACACACACCAATAGTTCTGGCACATGTGTGCAGAAATGTAAATATCCACGATTTCTAAATGGATGGGCATCAATCCTATCATAACGCCACAGGCATTTGGTTGTTTAGGCTAGCTTACACCTTTTGCTTTGCGAAGTACAATTAATGGGCTAGGTAGATGGTGGTGCAATTGGGTTTCAAGGGACATTGGTAGGCAGGTAATATGACTTAATATACAAAAAGGGAAAAGAATAATTGAAAGAAATTGTAAATAAACCTCAAGGAATTGACTAGGCAGCAAGGAGGTATGTTTCATTTTTTGAGTTCAAATTTTAGGTTAGCATATAAGAGAATTTATTAAAAAAATTTGAATGTGTCATGCTTGATATATAATTTAAAAAATACATAATTAAATGAAATGATCATTGAAAATGATCGGTCAAATGTAATTGGCTTGTTTGTACACAATTGAGGGATTGATAATACGGATAGAGCATCATACAGATCTGTCAAACACAAACATCCCTGGGTATGTCTTAGCTCAAAATCAATAATCTTGTAAAATGTTCCCTTATGGAGATTATAGGACATGGTTCTACCATCCAAAAATATCGGACATCCTCTCTTCTTTTTCGTTGTTCTGATACTGAAAATACAGGGGAGAATGAACATTCACATGTACCTTAAAGATCATTCCGGATGATCAGATGCCACCTCGAAAACACCTAATTCTAAAGAGCTTTCAGGGCATGCAAATGAACTTGTGACTCCCCAAAGCATAATGTCTACTTTAGAAATTGTTGAATGCACGGAAGGCATTGGCATTATCTTTGACGTTTCACTGTCAACATCAAAACATAGTTAGGTCTCTCAATAGGCATACCAATAAATGGTACCATGACTGTAGAATATGATAATTCTATTCCTGATGTAATAATGAGATGGGTTACACAATAAAAAATTATGGTGTAATGAAGACTATAAAAAATTATGGTAACAAATCAAATTAAATTACAATCATAAAATATTTAATTTTCTTAATCTTATCTAATTAGGATCTTCTATTGATTTTATGATACTTGGTTGGATAGAGAAGGGTGCATGAGTCAACAAATAGGTCACATGGATGAAAAAAAAGGACATGTGTATTAGTTGTTAGTAACTCGTTATAAGATGATGTAACATATTGTTAGTAGTTTGTTAGAATGGTTATTAGCTTCTAACGGCTATAACAATTAATGAGAGAGGAGGGAAGAAAGAGGATTATTCTCGACATTGTTGAACATTCTTCTCTTTGGATTTTTTATTTAATTCTTTTTTATTTTCTCTTGTATTTCTTATGGTTCTTATCTCGAAGACTCTTGATAAAGATTCATTCTTATAATAGTTATTTTTCATTAATTCAATCATATTTTTATTTCATTCACGTCACTATTCTTCGTGATAGTTTTCATAAACTTGCATTTATTTGCATTTCTTGCTTGATTGAAATTGAACTCCATCAACTTATTTGATTCCTTTGTTGATTCTAACTCGCTCTATAATTTTCTTTATATTATATTCTCTTATACCCTCACTAAATTCATGGAGATTTGAAATAAATTTTGATGGATTTGACAAGCACTAAAGATCATCATCATCATCATCTTCTTCTTCTTCTTCTTTTCATTAAAAAGTAGTTGCTTTCAATAGTCGATTAACCAACTTTTGGAAAAATGTGAGCCTTTTCGACCAATAAGCTTAGGTTATAGTCATCGGGTATCTCTTAATTCTTCTACTTTTGCATAACTATTAAAAAAACACAATGATACTAGAAAATAACAAGAAGGATCTCTTAAGAGCTAAAAAAGATAATGAATTATTGAAAAAAAAACATGGAATACCAATTTTTTCAACAAATATATAGGTGATAAAAGAAGAAAAATCATAGGGACAATTGCACTATAAATATACCGACTTTTTATTTTTTTTCTCAATTAAGTATATGAATTTGATTTTTTTTCTGTTTGAGTATATCAATTTTGTCAAAATTATCAATCAAGTACTTTAATTAATTTTTCTATTAAATGATGGTGCGTTTGTTACCTTTAAAATATCATATTATAATTTTACCCTTCTTTTTTTTTTTCCTCAATCGAATATTTGAATTTTAATTTTTTCTGTTTAAGTATATTAATTTTTTTCAAAACTATTAATCAAGTATTTTTATCAATTTCTTCGTTAACCGATGACGTGTTCATTACCTCTAAAATACCAAATTATAATTTTGTCCTCTTTTTGTTGGAGTTAACTTTTTCTCTAATGCTCACGGGTAATGAATCTTCTCAATAAAAAAATTTACATGTGGTTTTCCTTCAATTTTTATGTCTAAACCTACTCGAATTTAGCTTGGAGCTTTTATAGCTAAAAATAATATTTTTTTTTAATTCTTGTCAAATTTTGAAATGATAAAATAATTTGAGGGATAGTTCCCTCCAACAAAAGAGTGCAAATTTGCAATTTGGTATTCTAATGGTAATGAACAATTTATCAACTAACGAAGAAATTGACAAAAGTACTTGATTAGTGGTTTTAAAAAAGTCGATATAACTCAAATAAAAAAATTAAAGTCTAGCTTTTGTATTTTAGGGATAACATATACATAATCGATTAATGAAAAAATTGGTAAAAGTACTTGATTGACATTTTTAAAAATTCATCGTACTTGAAA